ATATCTGCAAAGTGCAACAAAACTAGGTCTGTGTTCATATACTAGGCTTGAGGCTATAGTGCTATGCATTCTGCATTTCCACAAAAAAAATAATACCCAAGTTTGGAAATCTGTTCTGTTTTTATGAGAGTTGGTGTTTAAATTTCTGTAGTTGCGAAGATAAGTTAGAAATTACGTAGGCTGGATTTGGTGAAACCTTCAAGCCTTAAATACCAGTAGCCAGGAAATAAGTGTTACGGCACAGTTCCCATTAAGGGGAAAATCAAAATAAAACAATGCTTGAATATGATGTTTCCACAATGTGTTCAGTTCAGAGAATTTTATTTTGGGACAGAGTAGGGACGCGGGTGGCGCTGTGGGTTAAACCACAGAGCCTAGGACTTGCCGATCAGAAGGTCGGTGGTTCGAATCCCCACAACGGGGTGAGCTCCCGTTGCTCGGTCTCTGCTCCTGCCAACCTAGCAGTTCGAAAGCACATCAAAGTGCAAGTAGATAAATAGGTACCGCTCTGGTGGGAAGGTAAACGGCGTTTCCGTGGGCTGCTCTGGTTCGCCAGAAGCGGCTTAGTCATGCTGGCCACATGACCCAGAAGCTTTATGTCGGCTTCCTCGGCCAATAAAGCGAGATGAGCACCGCAACCCCAGAGTCGGCCACGACTGGACCTAATGGTCAGGGGTCCCTTTACCTTTATCTTTACGTACAATAACTTTTAGGTGCTTTTAGGTACAATAACTATGCTGCCAATTTTGCTGAATGTAGTAAAGCTTTGGTGCAGAAAGCTTTAATTTCTTGGTCTACAATGACAAAAGTACCTCAAAGAATTAGGAGCCAAAAAGCACCCCTCCGTACACTGCATGCTTGATATCTGGCATTCTCTTTGCCTCTTTAGCTGATCTTCACCTCGGAGTGCATGGAGGCAGAAGGCATGCGCTGGCATGAAGAGCACTTTTGCTGCCTCGAGTGTGACTTGCCCCTGGGGGCACGGCGCTATGTCATGAAGGGTGGCCAGCCCTGCTGCTGTGCTTGCTTTGAGAGTCTGTATGCAGATGTCTGCCAAGCCTGTGGAGAGATCATTGGTAGGTGCTGAGCATTTCTGTGGTCTTGCGTAGAATGCAGTCGTGTCTGGCTGCTCACTGACAGATGGACCTTTTCTGTTGTAACTGCAGTCCTATACTGCGTAATATCCAGTGAACTCGATAATCTGTTGCTCATGTAATACAAAGCTAAACCATGCCTTTGCATGAAGCTGCCAGCCAGGATATCACAGCTGCTTTGCTCTTCCTCTAGTACTGCTGCGTACTGAGCCGTGGTTTGACTTACCATGCTTTTCACACATAACCTGGTGGTTTGTCTCACTCCAGCCAAACCGCAAATCGTAACAAACCTTGGTTATGGCTCGTGGTTTGTCTGAAATGTAACAAACCATGAACCCGGGTTCAGATCCAAATAATGGATTGTCTCACAGCAGTAGGACTGGAGGAGAAAAGTGGCTGTGATCTCCTCTTTAGGGGCCCAGAAGCCTGCACACTGACTAAGCTATGGCTTATGTTATTGTAGCATGCAAGATGAGCCGATGGATCTTCTTAGTAAGGTATTGCACTGCACTGTTATTCTCCATACTAATCCCAAGCCTTCTAAAATAGCGGCCACATTTGCAGTAATTGGTTTAATCATACATAGTATGATTTTAGAAAGCTTTCCCCTTGGTATAAGCATTTAAAGCAATCTTATAATAATCAGACAGATTCTAAACCTTTCAGTTAATATTATTCACAAAATTGGTAAATGTAAAAGCCTTACAAAAATCCAGTCACACCCCCTCTTCAAACTAGAGGCAAACTGGTAAATGATGAAGAAACATTGGTATGACTCTGTAGCACCATTGGCACTACAACTTAACTCTCTTTGTGATCAAGCAGATGGATGGTTAAAATCTAGCTCTTATCATGCAGGGGCTCCTGGTGGAGTATGCCATAAACCACAGGCTGGCTGAGTGAAGTGGCCAAATTAATTTTCAGCCTGTATTATCTCATCATCATACTGTCTTAGCAGTATGAAAGCCAGTTTTCCTTTTCCTTTCTCATTTGGGGTCTGAAATGTACCTGGACATATCTCCTATTTAACCGGGGGGGGGGTGCAAGGAGGCCACACCAGCAATAAATGCAAACGAAGTTCTGCATTAAAATTGCCTATAGTTAAACCTAGTGTGCTTTGTTCTGCTCTCGCAGGTGTCGACAGTGAGCAAGCCACCCTCCAAGGCCAGCACTGGCACGCCAAATCCTGCTGCTTCTGCTGCAGCATTTGCAAAAAAGCACTGCAAGGCCAGCTGGTCACTACTCAAAATGGGCTTCTCTTCTGCTCTGAGGCCTGCAGCTTAGAGAAGGAATCGGCTTTGTCTTCTACTGGCTCGGATTCCTCTGACTCCGCTTTCATCTCTGTTCCATCCCCTGACTCAACACCCATCTCTAGAATTAGATACAGCAGCCCAGGCTGCTCCTCTGCAGCTGCAAGAACCAACCCTAATGCCTGTGAGAAACAGCAGATTCAGATGGTAAGATGTCTGGGGTGATCAGCCTTCAGCAGCAGGGATAATGATATAGGCACCTTTGAGCCAAAACAATAGAAGGCTCCCCAGTCCTACCTTATTCTACTCCTAATGTAGTGTTGATTCCAGATTTTTTTTAATGGTGGTGGTGGTGGTGGTGAGGTCTCTTGAGTGACTTAGTTGCCCTCACTGAGTGAGCTTGCTGCCCTAACCACAGCACATTTGCTTGCCATGAGGCCCAATCCACACCATTGCACAGAAGGGGCAAGAGAGGCTTGCTTGCTCCTCCCTTGTCAAGGCTCAAAAAGAGGCCACAGGGCTCAGCCCTGGCAAGGTTTGTGCTTCACTAGATGCCAGATTCTGATTCCAGGTGGCATCTCTGCCTGATGACAGAAAATGTTGATGTTTATGCTTCTACATGTCTGTCCTGATGTTAAGATTATCTACAATGGAGAAGGGGAGCCTGTTGCTCTCTAGATCAGGGTGGTCCTCAGGCCTTTTTGGGGCTGCCCTCAGCAATATTGACACACACACACCCTGCCAGCCCTCACACTAGCTTCCCAAAGCTGGGTATGCAAGATGCTGGGCTTTGGGAAGGAGGCATGAAGGTTCTGACAGGGTCCTTGCATCCTTTCCCAAAGCCCGGCACCTTGCTTAGCCAGCAGTTGTGTGTAAAATTTTGGCCTTGCTCCCACTCCCCCTTTGGTGACAAGGCAGTGTGCAGCCTGCAGGTCCCATGTCAAAGTACTCTTGCTATATAAAGTTGGACTGCCCTTCTCTAGATGTTGCTGGACTGCACCATCCTTCATCCCCAACTAGTTTGTCATGCTGGGTAGAACCAACAGCTGGAAGAGAAGCCACACAGCCTCCCCCGCCCTTGCCTTATAGACTTTATTCAGCAGTCCGACTTGGGAGTTTAGGGTCGTCATACAGGTGTCTTAACTTTTCAGACCCAAGACCCACTATTAAAGCAAACCTGTATTTGGGGATCCATTTCTTAATACTTTACCATATATTTGCATGGCGGTACTGCTGCTCCTGTTGCAACCCACCTTGGATTAAGGCATGACCCACCAGTTGAAGACCAGTGCTCTAATATATGCTTGTTCTTCTTCTTACCAGCAATGGAAACACTTCACACATCTGGGGATTCATCACTGTGTCCTGAGTTCAGGAGCCAAGAAGAAGCAAGCGCTATTTTCCGAAAGAGAATAGCTTCCCAGCAGTTTGATAAAACTGAACTTCTGACTGGTTCTCCTCAAGCAGAGCGGGGAACGTCTAGCCCCTCTAGGCTAGAGGTAGTTCACAGCACTGTCAGTTTAACGGAGAACCAACTGCTAGGGTCCACTTTCCCACTAACACCTCAGCAGCAAGTTGGAGACGATCCCTTTAGGGGCAGCGTCTCCGAAGCCCCACATGCATCCGTGTGGAACAGGGACTTCTCACAAATGCCGCCCGAGGACAGCACAGGCCGGCAGGAAGCTGTGGTGGAACAAGACGATGCTTGGTGCCCTACTTGCTCATCCTCTTCAGATTCTGACTCTGAGCCAGATGGCTTCTTTTTCGGAAAGCCCATCCCAAAGCCTGGGGCCAGACGGATTGCTCTACCCGATATGGAGCAAGAGACACTTGGCAAAGGGATAGGGTGGGCAGCCAGAGCACGTTCGAGCAACAAACACTGCAGTATATGTTAGTTTGGGCTGGTGGGGAGGAGGGAGAAGAGAAAGAGAACATAGTTCTTGGATACCCGAAAAGTGTTGCGGGGGGGGGGGGGGTTAGAAACAGTGTCACAAGCAGACATCTTATGTAGCAATGCGGTTGATGGGTGTGCGTGCTGAAAAGTGAAAAATCATCTCATACAAGTGCAAAGCTGAGGAAGAACTGCGAATAAGCAGACTTGAGTGAGAAGCAAGACTCTCACATATACAGAGGTTTGCATTGCCAGTTTGGTCACATTGTGCATTTTCAGAGGCTTTAGAACTGGCATTTTCCTCCTCAAAGGCCTGCAGCTGCCCCTTCCCCTTTTTTCCTAGTTACACAGGGAAGAAACATGTAAAGATTAGCATAATTCAGGAGAGCCTTGTGGGCAGGACACTCTCAGCTTCTAAACTCTCTACTACAGCATGAATACTTACAAGAAGCTCACTGGCCAGAACATGCTGTAGCGTAGAGCGTGTGAAACAAGGCTGTACCCCTTTGTTCACCACCTGCACACATTTTGCACAAGTTCCAAGATCCTTCTGGCTCCCTACCAGCTCATCCTTCCAATTTCTGTGTTTTCAAAAGGTGCAGTGTGAAGAATAAATAGGTTAACCCTGCCTTAATCATTGAATGCTTGACTTGGCAACTGTAAGCAGGATGCTAAAAAAAAGTTATGCAGTTTTATCTATAGTTGTCTGAACAGTGATAGTTCAGGGAAGCCACACTCAGCAAATAAAGGCAGCTCCAAGAGATGTGTTGTCTACATCAGTCATTTTTATTTAAAAAGATGTTTTTAAGTTCTCAGGAAACAAATCTAAAAAGCATTTCACAAGAGTTTTGTGGGGGGGGGGGCTACTAAAGCTGCTGCACTGGACTGGCAGGAATCCTCCATTTTTCCCTCTGCCTGTAATAGCAGGAGAGCCATGGTTAAAGAGATCTAAAAAATGCAAAATTAGCCATCCTACTTGGAAATCTTGATGCAAGATTAAAAGGCAAACCTTTCCAATAGCTAACCCTAACAGGGTAGTATGCCAAAACCAGCTTACCACTCCCATTCGACTTACTCCTGCAATGAATTTCTGACACCTTCAGAAGTCCCTGGGGTAAGTCAACACTTCTCAAAACAATCTACTTCTGAAAAAATGTCCTTATGAGGTGGTGTTCTTTTTCTCCCATACTCTTAAGCATCTGCACAATACTTTCAAGCCTTAACCTTGCTGCTGCAGTCAAACCCATTGGGGTTCCTCATCTTCCACCAAGAGGAAGCTAACCTCAGTGCCTCAGCTACCAAATCCAAAAACATGCAGCTTCCCATCCCACTCACTCTGTTGCGCAACATGCCTTAGACTAGTCAGATCATCCTATTAGATGGCATTGGCCAAGTCATAGCTGTCAATGAAGTCCTTCAGCATGCATTCATAGTAGTTCCCGATCCTTCTCAAGTTGGCCCGCAAGGCTGCTTCCATCGCCTCCTCCATGCATGGCTTTGTTTCCAACAGCATGGCAGTCACCACTGCAAAGTTGAGGAGGACTTGCTGATAGGCCTGCAGGAAAGGGCAAAGTGTCTGTCAGGCAAAAGCGCCAGCGATCTGAAGACTGCCACTCTACACCAGTTCTACCTCACTTATCTACTGGGCTGGTCACATTCAGCCCAGAGTCCTAGCACACCAAAAACCCAGATTGTAAGAAGACAATTTTTCTAAGAAATTATTTGTTTAATGCTGTAGTGGGGAGAAAGGCTGTAGCTCAGTGGTACAGCATCTGCTTTGCCTGCAGAATATCCTGGGTTCAATTCCCAGCGTCTCCTGGTAGGGCTGGGAATGCCCTTCCTGAAACTCTGGAAAGCTGCTGACGGTGTAGATAACACTGAGATAAATGGGCTAATGATCTGACCAAGTATAAAGCAGCTTCCTATGGTGTTGCCCTGTGTATGAGGACCAAGACATGTGCTTGCAAAGTATTTGCTGCTTTGTTTAATTTCAAATGTCAGTCAAGACAATTTGAGGTGTCACAAAGCAATAAGTATACACTTCGCAAACTTGCTGTCAGGTGTGTGAACATTTTTTGAGTCTGGGGACCATGTTTGTTTATAGGCGCCCCACTGGGACCCACGTGACTTAAGCAAATATGGCTGGAGGATAGGACTACTTCCCTAAAACAGCCTTTGCCAACCTGGTTCCCTCCAGATGTTTTGGACTACAACTCCTCTTAGTCTGCGACAGGCCCCTTTATGCTTGGCCTTGCACAAGCCTTTTGTGTCAGATACAGGAGCGAAAATAGCATGTGACCTTCACAATAATTGTGCTTCAGATCTCCCAGTTCATACTGACATGCCGAAGAGGCTCAGTTACCTGCTCTATCTCTTCCTTTCTTGCTAGTACAGCTGCAGAACGGTCCTCAGAAGTCCTTGAGGATGATGAAGAGCCATCTTTCTCTCCAGCACACAGGGGCTGAGTGGGGTCTGCATCCTCACTGCAGGTTGCTGCCTGGATCTATAGAGATTTTCCCAATGGGATAAGGTGTTAACATGGCCTAAAACGAAACTAGGGGTGTGTCAAAGATAGTTTTGGGTCTTGCAAAAGGAAGGCAAGATCACTGGCTCACAACAGAATGAAGTATTTTTCTGGTGAGGCTGCTGACAGTAGTCTTAGAGTGAAACCCAGGTGGGGGGGGGCTGCTTTCAGGTGTCACAACTAAGATCTAGGTATCACACAATGATGTTTCATTAAACCAGATGCATCTATGGGCTGTGGAAATGATTCCATAACCTTTTGCACCTTGGCCTTTGCAGTGGGAGGGACAGGGACCTCAGGCCTGGGGGTGGAATGCAGTCCTCTAGGCCTGTCTATCTGGTGGTCAGAACCCTTTCCAGGCCACACTTCCTCACTGCTCTGCACCCCCATAGTTAAGGGAGGCCACTCCCCAGTTTGTCCCCAGGTAGGAATCATTTATTATAATAGACAAGGTGCAGGATATCAAGCAAGGCACTCCGTAGGTATCCCCTTTATTTATTGCTGCAGCAGGACAGCACCCCCAGAGCAAGTCTGAAGGGAACGTGACTGAGCAAAGGGTTTTTACAGCTTTTATACATTTCCATAACTGGCAAAATAAAGCAAGGCACATGCACACATCAGTTCTCTTTGTACTTGTTACATAACATAACATCCCTCTCCTGGTGTCTGGCCTTCAATTGTGTATGTGCCACAAAGTACTTGATTGTGTACAATACAAGCTAGCAACCTCTACTCAGTGACATTAAACAGAAAGTTAAAAATTAATCAAAAACTACACAGGAAACTTTCCAACATTCTTTCCACAAAACCAAGCGCTTTTGCCTGTGGAATGTGTCCTACTCCTTTTCGAACATGTCCTTGAGCTCTGATTACTCCCCTCTCGCTTGTCTGGATGGAGGATAGAGAGGGGCATTTGAGTGTGTATAGAAACTAAGAGGGAGGAAACACATTTGTTGCTCCACCCACTCTGGCCTCTGCCCCTACAACCTTGGCATGTGACCCTCCAAAGGTTATGCAGAAGGGAATGTGGCGCCCAGGCTGAAAACTCTTCCCAGTCCCTGTTCTGCAGCAAATGACTTGTACAGCCAGCAGAACTCAGAAATAAATGCATCAGTTACAAATGCCAACATGTGGAAATCAGTGAAGAGAGGGCTAAGGGGAAAGACACTCTTGCTAGTCCAGGCTGAAGACCAGCCATTGCAAGACTGAATCCTTCTTCCTACCGGGTCAGGCAATTCTGTTTCCACCGGCTGTAACTTTTGTGCAGTCTCTGATGAGATTGGTGCCCCACCAGCTTGGTCCCCTTTGGTTTTCTTCTTAGTCTGTAGAAACCGAAAAGAAAAGGACCTAATTGGATCTGCTCACTAACAAAGCAAGGCTTTGTTCATGCCAGAAAATTAACACTGTTACCCAAGCAGGAAACTCTGTAGTGCATACTGGTTGCTACCACTGGATTCGTTTGCCAACAACCCAAGAAGGATGTAAAGGATTGTATCAACCTTGGCAGGATATCAAAAAACAAACTTTGCCATATACCCCATCTTGAATTCTTTGAGGAAAGGGTGTGACATAGACCTAGCTTTCCAGCAGAGCTGGTACCAATGAAAACAAAAGATGAGCAATGGAGGAGGGCCAGAATGACTGGGAGATCAGTTAAAATCTCCACTCATATAATGAAACTTACTAAGAGCAACCACTCTCCAGCCTATGTGAAAGGGTTATTTCAAAGGTAGTGGTATAATCCATATCAATGTATGTCATCCTGAGCTCTGTAGAGGAAGGGTAGATACTAATCTGAGCATCAGAGTGAAATAACTCCAAGACACCTAAGGACACCAATGCATTTGTTCTTACCGTTTACCCTGTGGACTAAAAATCCCATCGTGAACTCCCAAGGATGTTGACTATCCTGTCAACAGAGTACACCCACTAGTCTCATGACTAGTTTCCAAAACTGAGTGCCACAACAGGAGGATAGATCTCTTCCTGCTGCTGAACCAGTTGGAGCATTCTGAAGTGCCTTATATTAGAAAAGGCATGATCTAGTGCAGTGTTTCCCAACCTTGGGCCTCCAGCTGTTTTTGAACTACAATTCCCATCATCCCTGACCACTGGTCTTGCTAGCTAGGGATGATGGGAGTTGTAGTCCAAAAACAGCTGGAGGCCCAAGGTTGGGAAACACTGATCTAGTGAACTGATACCACTTGGAAAACTCCACTTATTAATAGGCAATCACTGCCACCTCAACTTGCCGGCATTTACATGGTACCACAAGGGTAAGAGGTGTAAGGGAAGCACATTTGTTCAGCTAAAGAAAATGCTGGAAAGATACATGCCAAGGTATGATGATGATGATGATGATGATGACGACGACGACGACAACAACCACCACTACCACCAACCTTCCACTAAGAAGACAACTCTGTACTGGAGAACCTCTATTACTGAGAGTTCATGCTATCATTGGGACCATGCAGGTTTTATACTCATTTCACTAGCTTGACTTGTGTTATGTACACAAAAACCCTGCTGGATCAGATAGAAAGCTCATCTAGTCCAGTATACTGTTTCCTGTGCTGGTCGACCAACTGCCTAAGGGAAGGCTAGAAGCAGGACACGAGATCACATACATCATCATATTAAGACACCCATACATTTCCTCAGCTACCTTGGTAGATTTTCTTGCTTTCTCCGAAATCGCTGTTGCCGCCTTCTTCTTTTCAGTCTTCCGAGAGGATGATATTTTTTTCTTTAACTTCTGTGAATTGGATTTCATTTTACAAGCCAGGAGGAAGAAATAAATAAATAAATAAAAGGGAGTATGAAATAAGCCACCACCACCAGAGATTTGTTGGATAAATGCCAACCTTTGTAGAACTAGTGCACCATGTCAGACCAAAAGCAGTGTTTGCTTAGATAAGGAACAGGAAACCTGTGGCCTTCTATTTGTTGCTGGATGCCAACTCGCATCAGTCCTAGCCAGCATAGCCAATGGAGAGGAATGATGAGAGCTGTAGTCTAACAAGATCTGCATGACCAAAGGGTCCCTATCCCAGGCAGAGGTTATCTTGGCATTTAAGTGGAGGAATCATTATACAGTGGTGCCTCAGTTTTCAAACGTAATCTGTTCTGGAAGACCGTTCGACTTCCGAAAGGTTCGAAAATTGAGGCACAAAGGGCGGTCTGCCAATTCAATAGAGACAATTGTGGAAAACAACAGATACATGCAGCAGAAGTCGTTCCAACTTCCAAGGTGCGTTCGAAAACAGAAGCATTTACTTCTGGGCTATCGGCGTTCGAAAACTGAAACGTTCGGCAACAGAGACGTCTGATAACCAAGGTACCACTGTAGTGGCACATGAACTGTACATGCTCAAGGGCTCATTTTGAGAGACAGGGAGAACAGGAATCTTATTTCAGCTCTCTTTCAAACACCTCCACTGATATTGTCAGAGATCTATTCAAAGCTTAATGAAGCAAAACATGCTGTCTTGTGGAGAAGAAAAGGCTAAGGAATAAACTCTACACAAATCCAGAGTGGAGTCCCTAAGATGGCTGGATGGTGCTTTCTACACTTCCTTCTGGCAACTCCTGCAGCCAAACTGGTGCCATATGTAGTGCTCTGCTTTCTTTTGGACCACATCAGCAAGGCCAAGGGGGTGGGGTGAAGGTCTTGTTGCCTGGACAGCCCAGGATCTCCATACACGTTGCCCAGGCTTGCATCCTAAAGAGGTCACTTCGGTGCTGCTAGCACAGCAAGAACAATGAGGAAGGCAGCTGTTATGAGTTACCAGTCTCTGCAGCCACTGCAGGTGCTGTGATTCTCCAATGGTTTGACCTCACCTCCAGAGGTGCACTCCATTGTCTTTTGAGACAGATGGATACCAACAATTATCAAGCATATGCCAATTTAAGACGGTAAAATATAGGCATCTTCTCTTACCTCTCTGGGGCTCTCACGACTGTATGAATGTGGTGCTTCGTACAATTCACTTCTTTCTGCAAAAAGGAGATGTTAGACAGCATTTTGCTTTGTGGGTGGGGAGGCATGGCTTCCTAACTCTGGGGATAAAAGAACGCTAATGGTGATTAAAGACCAAGTTCTTTTTTTGGCTCTAGTGACCTAAGAAGTGCAACTGGAAATGGACCCAAGTGCCAGATTATGTATAAAATGGACTTGAGAGCTTTACTGGTATTGCAGCATACAAATGTTGAAACTCTAAAATCAACAATAAAATGTGTAGGAATATTGAAAAGAGAGTTATATCCATGGAATAATTATATAGAAAGTGCATAAAATGGCAAGAGAATAAGGTTATATAGAGTTCTATTAACATTGCTTCAAAATATCATCTGTTAAGCTGCTATATTCCTCCTACTATTAATTAAAAGTAATTCAATAAGAAGTCTAAAAAGAACTAGGCTAAAAAATATTTAAAAATGTATTCATAGCTACCAAACTGACATGGAGCTGATGGATAAAACTTAAGGGAAATCCTACTGTAAACGTTGAATAATTTGAAAGAAATAGTTTATGAAAAAGATATAAATTGTAGATCAACAACAAATATATATAATGCCAAATGGGGGAAATAAGAATTTACTCAGAAAAACAACAATTATAAAATGTAATATAAAAAGAACTGAACAGTAAGAAAGCATGTTAATAGAAAAAAAGGAAAATGAGGAAATGTATGTAATCACAACTGTGAAAACAACATGTGAAGACAATCTATGAAATACTCGGTTCAGGGAAAGAGCAAAAAAACAAAGGGCCTCAAGAAAGAAAGAAACTCTTTCCCCTTCCTCACATATATCATTTTCTTCCCCTATCAACACTGCAACTTTTTTTGTATCTCACCCATATGCACCCCAATTAAAGAACCACATTTGCACTTACGAACAGCCAAGCCAGGATACTTTGTAACATCAATCCCTCACTGCCAAAAGACAACCTTTTGCTTTGTTGTATCATCTTAATTGAGGAAACTGACAAGACCCAGACCATAAAGTTTACAGAGGCACCATTTGCTGGGAGGAGGATCTTATCTAGATCCTTCCTTGGCAACAAAATCTCTCTCACTCACATTCCAGGAATGAAAGTCTCTGATCTTTTATCTAAGCTGAAAGAGAACTGTGGCTGCTTACAAACCAAGTTGTGTTTCAAAGTTTCTCCCTTCTATCCTCCCTTTTTTTCAGTACACCTGGGTCCAAACAGGTTCAGACAAAGTGATTTTACCAAATACTTTGGGTAACAAAGCCCCTAAGTTATGTGACAGTCAGATAGACTTGATATGCTGGGCAACCTGCTCTTTCACACACTGACAGTTATCTGACAAGGGGCCTTTTACACATTCCTGAATTCTCCGAGAGAATGCCCAGTCATCTCTGCAACTGCATTTGAAATATTGCTTTCTTTCACTGTGATTCCTGTTTCCATGAAGACATGTCTTTTGCTGCTGCTCTGCTGGGCGAATCAGGTGTTTTGCGGGGTAGAGCAGCAGCAAAAGATGTGCATCTTTTGCTACCGCTGTGTCTGGCAGACCAGCGGACTGGAGCCAGGCAGAGGTGTAGATCCTAGGTGCACCCATAGCTCCCAGACATCTCCATACAGTCACAAAAGGTTGCTTGCTAGTGGCAAAATGCGACTGGCACAATGGGAGCATCAAACGTTGATCCAAAAGGCTACACAGCTTGGAGAGGACCCTTTCATGCCAAGGAGACAATATTGTAAACACTAATATCTTAGTCCCTTCAGCTGGAACATGAAGATTCCCATTCTGAACTGCCCAATAAAAACAAACCTTCTGGGGAATAGCGATGACTTCTTTTCTGAACCAAGTAAGAGGGAGGGGAATCTTTCTCATATAAATTCTTTCTGTGTGGATTGTAGCAATATCCACAGTGACAGAAGCTGGAGTGCTCTCTCCTGTGAAAAGAAGCACATGACTCACTTGAAAAGTTGCGCCCGCCTGCATTTTGAACACCACATCAAGAGCCTGACTGTTGCTGCTTCCCTGCATCCCAAAACTCTGGGAGCAGGCCAACTGGTAAGGTGGGTGGCTAAGACTAATTTGCACAAAACTACAGTCCCCATGATTCACCAGGGGAAGCCAGATAGCTAAGCCAGTTTCATTTCAGTTTGCAGTCCAAATGTAGCCATGAGTTCAGCCTGAAACCCATTCAGTTCGGAATCCCTTCACTCTATCCTATTTTGCAAGAGAACTCCCCATTTCCCATGGCTCATTTCTTTCTATGCATAAGCACCACCAAGAAGTCTCCAAATTATCCTAGTTATCTCAGACTCCTTTCTTCTCTATGCCTGACATCAATATCATTTCATATGATTCAAAACTACCCAGTTTCTAAAACAGAAGCCAGCTACCCTGGTGTTCCCCCACTGAGTTCCAAGAACTGTAGTCTTCTTGCAGGGCCGGCTCGTCCCTTTTTGTGGCTTGAGGCGAAACGGGAAGTGCCACCCTGCCAAGCTCGGCCACCCTGCCGTCACTTGCACTATCTGCCCTGCTACCTCCACTGCTGGCAAAGAAGCAGCACTGTCACCGGCACCGATTTTGAGTGAGATTTCACCTGAAATTGCATGAGATCTTGGCCAAAATCAGCACTGATGCTGCTGCTGCTTCTCTGCTGCCGCTGGCAGAGGGGTACCCACAAGCACTGATGCTTCTGCCACCTGAGGTAGCAGCCTCATTCCACCTTACGGATGAGCTAGCCCTGCCCTCTAGCTTTGAGGGAATCTCGGGTTATGTTCTTGCCTGCAAGGGGACAAGTTGCTGCTTCCACGGGATCGTTCTCGTCTGTGAGGCGATCTTGAACGGTGAGTATGCAGTTCCCTTGAGGCATGGCTTGCTCTAGAATGCCGTGAATCACTGCTGTGTTGGCCCTTTTGTAAACGAGGGGACCGGTCGCTGCTTCCATGGGATCGCTCTCGTCTGTGAGGGGATCTTGAACGCTGACTACGCAACTCTCTTGAGGTCCTATTTGCGCTAGAATGCCTCAAATCACTGCTGTGTTGGTTCATTGGTGAACTAGAACAGTATTCCAGCCATCTTTCTGTATCACTTTTTTGATCACAGGAAATGAGGCTGTGAGGTGGGGACTGTGAGAGCACCTGGCAAAAGAGCAGGGTGATCAAATAAGGTACAATAGCAATTTTGTTCATTTGACAATATTTATTTAATTGCCAAAAATCTCTAAGAAGTTTATATAAGTTAATATAAAACAAGTCTCCCCTCTTCTTAAATATCTTACTGCTTTCAGTGAGAACTCAGGAGAACCCAAATGCTAAGCAGACACAGCTAAACTTTTCCTGATCTGGGCTAGGACTTTGGACTCAGGGACTCACTGCTGCCTGGTGCTACAAGCTGTCTCCTTTTTCTCTATCCCTCCCTAGCTCTCTTCCGAGGACCCTTTCCTTGTCTCAGTTTTGAGTCTCCCATCCTTTCCTTGTAGAGCCCGATCATTAGTGCTCTTAGTTTGATTATCCCAGAATCCTTACAAACAATGATTAAAACCACAGTTGTGCATTAAGGATGCCCTGAAAGCCACGTTTTTATTTGTGACCAGAAGACCAGTGAGAGTGTCCCTGTTTTCCCATTTTCTTTTTAATACTCCCCTTCATGTCCTTTAGAGCAATAGTAGGGAACACTGGGCTCTCCAGAGGTTGCTGGACTACAGTTCCCATCAGCCCCAGCCAGTGTGGCTAATGATAAAGGATGATGGGAGTTTTAGTCCAACAACTTCTGGAAAGCCAGAGGTTAGATAGAGAGTTGCTTTTCTCTTTCTTGCTCCTCTCTTGCCAGCTATTTTCCTTCCGCCCCTTGCCTGCCTTCTTGATTCTATTCTTTCTCCACCTACAGCCCCCTCCATAAAAATAATGTTCATCATTTTTCAACTTACCAAGTCACTGTCATGTTCAGAGACTCTGTGACACTTTACAGCTTCATTCACATTGCAGGGTGGTGCCTGACGATCTTCAGGGGCCCATACATTTTCAGCCTGGAAAGAAGCAGTTTCCCAGGAATAAGGGTAGGAAGATTAATGATGCCAGATTGGAGAACAAGGACAGCAATGAAATATAAGGATAAGCAATATTCTTCTAGGTAATAAAAGAACATCCCACTTGTAAGATCCTGCCCCTTATTGTTACCACCATTTCTACCCCACAGGAAGCAGTGTACTGCGGCCACACAAAGGAGCTTCTGAATTGTTGCCATGCTTGGGGAAGGCAGGGCCTAGTGAAAGAAGAGACATCTTCCTCAAGCCTGGGGGGGGGGGCGGAGAGGGAGAGAATAAAAACCACCACAGCTGAGAGAAGGGTTACATGGTAATAGGAAGGAAATGACTCTGAAGGTTCTGAGATGGCAGCAGGCAGAAAAGGACAAGCTAAAAAATGAAAATATGAAAGGGGAACATTTTGTTCATTATGTTTGCTGTGGTATTTTTTCCCAATAAAATGCATAGTGTGGAAGAAGCCCTTGTTAATTAAGCACTAGAATTAAAAGTTCCATTTGAGTTGCCCCTTTGGGATTTTCTATCCCACCTTGTGGAACTGGTTACAAATGGATTGGCTAGGGAAACCCAGCCAGATAGGTGGGGTATATTATTATTATTATTATTATTATTATTATTCAAAATTTACTAAGTAGGCCCAGCTATGTTTTCAGGGATCAAAGACACAAAGAAGTTCCCGCAGTCTTACCTTTTCTTTTTCTTTTCTGTAAATGATATTTATTAAATTTTCCATTTTAACAATCCAATCAAACCACATTAAACATTCCAAATTATACAAATTATCCAATAATCAAACAATCCAAATGTTATACCAAATTATAATTTTTTGGGCAGACTTCCCATGTTCTGAGGTCGGGGGGGGGGTTCAAATCATCTCATATTTCTGTTGGTTATTATGCAGATTAGTTGTGCTGCAGAAGGTATGAGTATGACCCATTCAACAGGGTACTGAGAGAGCTACTTGCTGCTCTTTATATACTATACCCAATTTCTGACACTGCTTGATTACCACAACTTAACAGCACCTGCTATACTGCTTCACAGCTGTAAAACTAGGTCATGTTATTTGCTCTGGCCTTTAAAGAGATACACATCTTGTGAAACAATAATGAACCTTAATATTTAAAGAAACCATTCCACAATTTCTGCTGCTTTTCATAGTCATTTCCGATAGTTCCCATAAGTCATTCTGATGTTAATCCTTCATTGTTTTCAACAACCTCTGAGTTCATCCGGCAAGCGAGATAAATCAAAACAGTGTGTTTCTGTGTGGGTTCTTATGTCTTTCTTTCTTTCTTTCTTTCTTTCTTTCTTTCTTTCTCTCTCTCTCTTTTTCTTTCTTTCTCTTTCTTTCTTTGTGCTTCCAATCCAGCTATGGCATTCCACTTTCACTTTCTGATTTTTATAGTTGCTTGCAACATTCCAATATAGAGGAGATCTGACTTTCTGCCAGTTGTACCAGGCATATGTCCAAAGTTTCTCCACCTTATCTCGTCCAAGCAATTAATGCCAACAGCCTTGATTTTTCGCTTGCAAAGCCATTTCCACACAGTTAATAATTGTTAGAACCATATTACATCAGTAAATGCTTAGTCAGTCCTTCCAGAGGAGATTTTGCCAAGTAACATAGCAAAACGAAGTATCGAAGTGAAACAAAGAATGCTCACCCCCCTTCCGTTCCGACACACCAGCTCCATGCAGATGATAATCCTTCTTCTACTTTAGCACCTCAATGGCTGAATTAATTAGCAGAGTAATTTCTCCCCCTCACTCAGAGCATGTCCATGACTTAAATCCGATTTTTCATCTTAAGAAATTGTAGTTTGTTGCTCACGGAGGCGACTTTGGAGAGCTGCCAAGAAACGCACAGTGCTTTCCATCCAGCGCCCCCTGCCCCCTCATTCCTTCCGGATTTGGGGCCAGGTGTTGGGCAAATGAGGATGAGACTGCCACCCCTGACCCTGGGGGAGTTGGGAGGCTGATTACTCCAATCTCAGCCTCTAATTACCCGTGCAAACGGCTGCAATGGAATTCCAGCCTCCTCCATGACACCAAATCAGAAGTCACTCTCAGTCTTACCTTTTCATATTTTTTCTCTCTCACCAGCACAGGCACAACACGAACATCACTCAGGGTACTTGGGAGGTTGGAGGAGCTAGTAGCTAGCACAGCAGAGGACTGATAGAGGTCTTCATCCTTAAGACTGCTGGTGATTTGGGTCTGCATCAGTTTCAAGTGAAAACAGGGTTAGAATAGTCTGAGACGAGTAAATGACTGGCTAGTGATACACAAATGAAGTTTTGTTTCCTCATTTCTAGGACACACCCTCCCCCATCTCTCTTGCCAATTCCTCCCACATTATCTCAATTACTTGTAACATAACAAGCTGATGCAGACCATTTTTTAGGCTATAAATATTGGACTGGAAACTTAGTCAAAGCAGTGAGTTGTGCTGGAATTTCACCCCTCCTTGATTCCTATGTGATTTAAAATTAAAACAAGACAGTTTGGCTCTGTAACAATACAACAGGAATTGATAAACATTGGGGTGAGAAGAGGATTCGCCTGGTCAATATTTTACAACAGGTAATCCTCTCAGCTCAGCAAGTGGCTTCCCTCCTGCCAGATACAGGATTCTCCATCATGTAAATTAAAGATACACCTGAGTAAGCAATATGTGTTTCCCAGTAAGCCACAGAGCAGTAGAAACCGGCCATAACCCGAAGTTAACTTTAAGATGGAAATTTTAACTCTTTTAGAAGGTTGCAGAAGAACCCTCATTTACCCTCCTCCCTATTCCTCCTATCGTACCTGATATTTTGAAAAAGGCTAACCAACTCTGACTTTAGAATCCTTACAAAAGCAGTTTATTTCCAGGGAAAGAAGGAGAGTGTAATTTAATGTTGGGTTGAAATAAGCGACAGACGAATGGCAAGTGTCATCTGGGAGGCATCTCCCGAGCACGCCTCGGGGAGTCCCTTTTATTGAATATTACAGCATTGCCACGTATGTGCTTGTTGCTGATTGGTTAACACAAATAAGGGTTGCATATAAGACATTAATCATCAATAGGTTAAAGGTTGGGAAAAGGAACACAGAGTTAGACAGGCATGAAAACCTCCTTATCAAACAATTACTAATGATTGATATGGTGTGAACTCAATGTGAACTGAACATTCCAGGGTGGTGAGAAAAGAATGTACAGAAAGATAACTTCCCATCAATTTAATACCAGTTCAATGTCTTCCTTTCCCTCTGAACGATTAGCATTTGTGGTCTCAGGTAGGAATAGTATTTCTACAGCAGGAAGTGAGCCAACTGTCAGGAGTTTCATTCTCTCTTGTGCTGCAGTGTGTGACTACTAGATCACATGCTCTATGTGTTGACATTCCATTCTTTGGAAGTGTGCGAACAGAAGGAACTGTACGCCACTTCCGTCTTCTTTGTTCTTTGTTTTGTTGTCCTCTCTCAGAGAAGAGACATGCCATAATGGCTCTGTTCTTTATTTTGATCCTGTAAATAAATCACTAAACCCAGATGCTACATATCCTTGGTCTCAGCTTCTTCTAAGCTCTGCTGCTTGCTTAAACATCCGGAGGAGTGAATGCTGTGATATGTGTTTTGGACCAGTGCCAGAAGAAGGCCGTCTCCCACCCAGAAGCACCAACACCAACATGGCTGAAATGGTCTTTGGGTGGGATGGCTTCCAGCTTCAGGAGAGAAATAAATATTAAGGACTGTGGGTTTGCAGGGATAAGATCCTAATTGCAATCAATATGACCAAATAGAATGCCTGAAAAGTTCCATTTGAGTTGCCTCTTTGGGATTTTCTACCATACCTTGCAGAAATGGATACAAATGGATTGGTTGGGGAAACCCAGCCAGATAAGCGGGGTATAAGTAATAAAATTATTATTATTATTCAGAATATATTAAGTAGGCCCAGCCATGTTCTCAGGGATCAAAGACACGAAGAAGCTCCCGCAGTCTTACCTTTTCATATTTTTTCTCTCTCACCAGCACAGGCACAACATGAACATCACTCAGGGTACTTGGGAGGTCTTCATTCTTAAGACTGCTGGTGATTTGGTTCTGTATCAGTTTCAAGTGAAAACAGGGTTAGAATAGTCTGAGACGAGTAAATGACTGGATAGTGAAACACAAATGATCAGTATTGTTTCCTCATTTCTAGGACACACATTCCCCCATCCCTCTTTGCCAATTCCTCCCGCATTTTCTCAGTTACTTGTAACATAACAAGCTGATGCAGAACATTTTAAGGCTATAAATATTGGACTGGAAACTTGGCCAAAGCAGTGAAGCATGCTGGAATTTCTCCCCTCCTTGATTCTCACTCTGAATCCTATGTGATTTAAAATTAAAAGAAGACAGTTTGGCTCTGTAGCAATGCAACAGAAGTTTATTTACCCTCCTCCCTATTCCTCCTACCGTACTTGATATTTTGAAAAAGGCTAACCAACTCTCACTTTAGAATCCTTACAAAAGCAGTTTACTTCCAGGGAAAGGAGGAGAGTGTAATTTAATACCAGTTCAATGTCTTCCTTTCCTTCTGAACGATTATCATTTGTGGTCTCAGAAAGGAATGGTATTTCTTCAGAGGGAGGTGAGCCAACATGGCTGAAATCGTCTTTGGGTGGGATGGCTTCCAGCTTCAGGAGAGAAAGAAATATTAGGATGTTAGGAAAGAAACTGTGGGTTTGCAGGGATCAGATCCTAATTGCAATCAATATGACAAAATATAATGCCTGAATGTTTCACGCAAGGGCAATTCAAGTACTTCATAAACATGCTTCCATTGCCACCAACAGAAAACTGAACAAAAAGCATGAAAAGCAATTGTAGTCACTGCAGTGGCTTTGCAAAGTTCAAACATTCCTTTTGCTATTCCTCCCACAGCTTTAGCTCACAAAAGTCACTGCAAACTTAAACAAAACTCATGTCCCTTTTGTTTTAAAAAACTGTTCCCCCCCCCATTTGTTTTGCTATGTGATTTGAGTTAAAAAAATATTTTTTAAAAGATCTTACACCTGAGAGGTGGGAAAGCCCCACTGCACAAGCAAAAGCCATTCCACTCATGCAATGAAATCATTGGATCCTACCCAAAGTGATGTTACTTGATGGCTTCAGTTAATGCAAACCCTAAATCACATGACAAGATTAGATAGGCTTGTGGTCTGTTAACAGCCTGTGGATTATTATTTATTAAAGTTACCTGTCACTTTTTTAGCAAGGTAACTCAAAGCAACTTACAATCAATCACATACACTAAAACTGGCATATAACAAAACAAAGAAAAATGAAAATGAAAATCCTGTTTTAAAAGGCAAGATGAAAATATCCTACTCACTTAAGGAGCCCACAAATAATGAAAAATCAAATACTTGGTTTGCTGTTATGCAGAAATAAGAGCAAACCACAGTTAATACAAACTCCAGTTTGCTGATCAGCTCCAACTCATTGTTTGAGATCACGGTTTATCAGGAACAAAACAAACATGGTTTGTGGCAGGGTCAGAATTTAAAACAAACCATTTGTTTTCATGCTATGTCTGAACCCAGAATATTCTCCAAAACATTAACAGTGTTTGTGCATAACTTCCCAACAATTGTCATCTTATTCACAAGTTTGCCTCCACACTTGAAAGGGCTAGAAATATCCATTTTTAAAAGCAACAACAACAAATTTATCAAGATTTGAACAAGACCTTTTGGAGCACAAACAGCCTAATTGCTTATCCCTTTTTAGGACCATTCCAAAACATGACAAGGTTTACACATTTGCAGAGTCTTTTGTAAAATACCAGCTCCAAATAAACTAAGAACTTAGCGCCAAATAATGTCCTAGGCCTAGGCAGATATTCACAGAACTTTCAGCAGAAGATGGGCAGCAGTTTTCTAGCAATCAACTCAATGGTGACAGCTAACTAATTGAGAATCAAGCCCTCATCTCCAAAACAATAGGCAGGATACCAATTTCATCCTTGCTTACTTCACCCAAATGGTTGACTTGCAAAGGAAAAAAAAAGTGGTTCATACCAATACAGGCAGTTCCTTTTTTGTAGTATGAATGCCTTCTGTGGTCACAAGTGGTGACTGCTCTTCTATAGATGCTTCAGCAGATGGAAAAGGTAAGGCCTGGCTGGGAGGTTGTTCAGCTGCCTGCCTATCTTTCAACTCCACCTGCAAAGTTGTATAGGGAAGGAGAAATTCTGTTGTTTCAGTGGGGAGTGGAACTCAGCCCAAGCTTCAGAGACAAGACTTCAACAAGACAAGAGTATCCCTATATCCCAAGCAATCTTTACAATCTTATTACTAAGAGTGAGAATCCCCTCTTCTCTTTGAACCCAACTAGATACACACAAACAGTACCACAGCCACGAAGAAAAAGAAGCAATAAGAATAAGAATAGGAGAAATAAATAAAAAGGGCTTTCAATATTCTGTCTGTCAGTTTATATATAAAAAGATTATTCAAAGGATGATTATCCAGGATGATATCCAACTGTTCCTCCTTCCATTAGATGATAATTTCCCAACCTTCAGACCCAGACATCTCAAGTTCATTCATTTTCACACCCCAGCCTCCCTGCTCATTAAAAGGCACATCTCATATAATATGGCTGTAGAAATCACTACTAAGGGATTATACAACAGCAATACAGAATGAAAAAACAAAGCACTTATACCTCACCTTTCTCATCCTAGCTACCCATCTCCTTTGCAAAGTAAAACTTGTATTCTGTTTGCAAATCTGGGCTGAAGATGTGACCTCTAAGAGAGTTTATTTGACGTAAGGGCATGGGAAGAGAAAGATGAAGCAGCAGTGGGCATGAAGAAAGGAAAGAAATCCTGTAGAGCATTCAGGAGAAGTAAAAACAAAAACAGGAGGAACCTCTAGAGAATACACTTGAGTACACCACTGCAGCAAGGCTATAGGAAGGAAGAGTTTAATTGGTATGCCCATGGGCTTTAACACAACTGGAGATTATACACAAACATTACATGAAGGAGGGTGTGGCAGGAGGAGTCCAAATTACCAGCACTTCTTGTTTGACAATGGCAGCACCAGAAGACATACTGGAGGAAAGCATAAAAGGCCGCAAAGGGGGTGGGTGGGGACATTTCAATCTTTCCACTGGCTCCCCACAGTAGTGATCCTGCCAGCACAAGCCTCCTTAACCAGGAGAGCTGGGCATAGGGAGGTCTCTGCCTAATCCAACACTACCTCAGTCTGGAGAAGGTGCGTGTGCAAATAGCAAAAAATAAGCAAAACAAAAAAATTCCTTCCAGTAGCACCTTAAAGACCAGCTAAGTTAGTTCTTGGTATGAGCTTTCGTGTGCATGCACACTTCTTCAGATACACTGAAACAGAAGTTGCCAGATCCTTCTATATAGTGAGAAGGTGGGGAGGGGTATTACTCAGAAGGGTGGTGGGAATGGGTAATTGGCAGATAGCTGAGATGAGCCTGTTGACGACTCTTAACGACTGCAATAGGTCTTACAGGAAAAGGCAAGGGGTGAGAAGGTGAAAAATGGCTTTGTCATGTATAATGAGATAAGAATCCAATGTCTTTGTTCAGACCAGGTCTCTCCATGGTTTTAAGTTTGGTAACTGTCCTCAAAGGACATGCTGAGACAAATACCTATTCATGAAGATACCTATTCAGCATGACAGAAGCTATCACCTAGTCCAACCCCCTGCAATACAAGAAGGTGTAGTTGTCCCATACAGGGATCGAACCTGAAACTATATAAAAGCTGGAAAGTCCCCGGCACAAGGCATTGCTATCCTGCTGCTGAGGTGGCCGCCCAAAGACTCTTAAAAGAAACTGATAAGTTCTTTTAGTGGGTCCACCCATCTGGTAAGTATGAATGAGAGGAGTGAATGAGTTATGAGTTATTAAATGTTAATCAATAAAAATATTTCTAGGAAGATTTGGGTCATTTTGTTTTTCTTGAAAACGCTCTGATCTAAAAGAATCTCCTGTCACTATTTGTATGACAACTCCAACTTGGTAAGAATAAATACCATTTGTATAGAGTTCTCTGTTACACATGTGTCTACAGTCAGCCAATCATATAGTTACATCAAGGGATCCTGTCGCAATCACAACCCACTGTGGCAAATCTTAACTAATTAACATTAACTAATTATTAAGTAGTTGTCTTCATTCATTAACCTTTGGTTAAATGTAACCAGTCTCAATGGCTGATTCCATTGTTCCAAACTGATTTATGATTAAGTGACATTACTGATTCAGTGCGTGTTGTAATTCAAGTTTTTATAGTGATTATGAACACTCTTCTACTGAAGATGGGTTAGCTACAACTCACATCCTTATGCTATGCTACAAAAATGGATTCAAATGACACAAGAAAATTTGAGCTTTCTCCTTCATGTGTATGTACATAACCACACACAAAGAGAGAATGAAAAAGGTAGCTAACGAAACAATACCACCTCCCTTTTCACACTTCCTGAGCAAGGGTTGGGCTCTCCAGTCTCAAGAGGTGTACATGGTTCAACTGCAGAGGAGGAACAAGTTATGCCTGGAAGAGTCCCAGCCCAGAGAAAAACAAGTCACAAATTCCCATTACTCACTCCTGCTCAGGACTACTCCAACACATGGGCACATTTGTACATTGGCAGGCTTCACAAGCAAAATACTAACAGCAGTGAAATTGAAGCCAAAGAATCCACACCCCTATGCAAATGAAAAAGAGAAGGTTTTTCATACCACCACAGGTTCTTCCTTTACTGTGGCTGGAAGACCTTCTGCTGTCTTGGATGGAGCATGCACAGGTGACAAAGGAGCAGTCTGGCTGGGAGGGTCTTCAGAGGTCTGACTGTCTTCCAACTTGACCTGCATAGATTTGTTAGAGGATGATGATCACAGAATTAGAGTTGGAAGGGACCCCCAGGGTCATCGAGTCCCACCCCCTGCAATGCAGGAATGATGTGGATGATAAGGACTGCTTTCTCAGTGGAGAGCTGAACTTAACCCAACCAGTGTTGAGAGACGATACTTGAACAAAAATGGCCTTGTATCCCATATTACCGCAAAGGTGTTAAGTTTTTTTTATTATTTATAATACTTACATCCAGCTTTATATCTGATGCAAATTTCTCCCAGTCACAACAGCCAATACCAATTTTAATGGGATTTTGTTGTGATATTTTTGAACTACTCTTGGGAGCCTCTCAGGTTGCTACATTTAGTTCAAGATACGTCCCTGGCCTTCCCTTATCTTGAGCTCATGTTGGGCATAACCAGCCTTGCAGATGAGACTGTGGGAACATGATTATGCAGGCTCAGCAACTCAGCAGACCGGACAGCTATGTACGTGATATGCTCGCTTCAGGGTTATGGTGCCCAGCTATCAATAGGTGAAAACATATAGGGCTGGGGGGGGTTAGTTTTGTCCATTTAGAAGAGTTTCTGGAAGCAGTGGTCAGCAGTTACACTGAGATGAAACACTCACAGATGACTGACCAACAAATGCTGTCTGCAAACTGCTGCATCACGACTACTGATAGACTGTGTCTGCCTACGTCATTGCTAAAGAGAAAGGATTGAAACCTAAGTATGCTGTTACAGCTATTGCTATTATGATTGTAAATAGTGCTACCATGATGCATTTATGACCAGTCAAGGAATAAATCACTTGAGTAAATTGTACACGGCCTGTGAGTGTTTTTCTCCAAGTGTAGCTTCAATTGCTGACCACTGCTTCCAGAAACACTGCTAAATGGACGAAAGCTTCCAACAAGGTGCCAACACACAAGTATTCTCATGCAGCGAAAGTGTGTTGCACTGTGACCTTTAATAGAGACATGGAGGTCACTAGGGATGCCATCTTCCACCCATATCCCATATCATCTGCTCTTGGTAATGTGTAGGGATCTGTTTACCTCAATTTCTTCTTTTTCCTTTGATGGCACTTCCTGTTTGCTCTGTGGGCATGTTGAGGAAACAGAGGGCAAATGAAAACTGATATCCTTTGCAGACATGATGGTTTTGCTGGACTTCTGATCCACCTAAAGAAGGGGGAAATGTGCAAATAAGGGACACTTATATTACTGCTGCCAGTGCTGTGTTTGCTTTAGGATCCAACACGGCTCTGGAAAGACTCACTGAAAACCTGTTTTCGATCCCAAGGAATCTTGGGAATTATAGAACTATGAGAAGGATTGCAAGGTTATTTCATTTTAAAAGGGTCTGCCACTGGAGAGCCACTGCCAGTCAGAATAAGAAACAGTATTAGGACAGATCAGGGTCCAGAGAACTGGAGCCAGCTGGTGGGTCAGATGCTGTGTTTCCCCCACCCTCGGTGGGTCATTTTGAAAGATGGGCAGGCTGGCTCATCCATCAATCGCCTGATAACACTACAACATCAAGTGATCCATTTTCCCTTTGTAGCACCGGGGGAGAGGGGGATTTTGGCCCAGTTAAGTGAGGACTGAAGTTACAAGCAATAAACACTGACTTCAAGAAACACTTTCTGCTGGGGTCTGTTGTGCTAGAGAACCCCCATAGCAGAGGCAGGGAGGGTTGAAAGAGAGAGACAGGAGGTAGATCTAGATGGAATCATGGGAGGAAGGGAAGGAGGAAGAAAAATAACTCTCATTGATTGTGGGGAGGGGAGATGAGAGAGAAATGAGCTCCCAAAGTGCTGCAACACTACTTAGAGGTTTCCTTTCAATCAAGCAGTATGCAGATTTTGTTAAATAAGCCACATCAGAACACATTTCCAGGATTTGTATCTACATTTCCATTCAGTTAATACATAAACCTTTATTCCCTCGGCAACCAGGTAAAGCCATGTTACTCTTCAAAATGTTACAAGTTCTTACTGCTCTGAGAAACCACAGGGAAAACATCCCTTCACAGATCGAGAACTCACCACCTTCCTCAGGAACTACCTGTTGCAAGGTGGCCCAGACTTCTCCTACAATTACCTTGGATGTGTCAGTTTCTTTCATCAAACTTGTTGAATTCTTCTGCCCTTGTTTAGATTCTGGTGTTGCTGATGGTCCTCCAGTTTTTTGAGAATTATTTCCCTTTTTATTTGGCTGTAGCACAGGAATAGAAAGATGAGTCTAGTGCTGCAAACTCCAGCTTGTTTTGACAGAGCTTCAGCACCTTTACCAACAAAAATGTAGCAGGTGAAGCCTCCCCCTGCCCCTGCCTTTGGTGCTGTCATGAAGTGATGGGGAAAGCTTCTCTAGCTATTCCCATGTTAGACAGCTGTTCAAGGCACAAGAGCTCTGTTGAAAAATAATGTTGACAAACCCTGAACAGTGGGATGTCAAAAAGAGGCAAAATGGCAATTTTTGCTTGTGTATCTCAGAGGCAGTCTGAATTAGTTAGCGACTTCTTCAACCATACAGACCAGCCACATAGTCATGAGAAATCTTCTTCCCAAACTTTGCCCCACATCACACCATCCCTTGATCTCTTCCACTCGTGTAAGAGACACCCTCCCTGTAGGAACTAGCCACAGCATAGGTTCATCGCTTACCGTCATATTGATTAAGCACGAGGAACGGGATGAGTTTTTAGAACGACCTTTTCCTGCAGACAGAGAAACAAACTCAGCATGCAATGCCTCTGCCACAACCTGAGAGTTTGGATGTGTGGGACAACTTTGCTTTGTTAAGTCTTTTCAGGGCAAATGGATGATTACTGGAGTTTCAGTTAGATAGATGACATGCTGTTCCAAAGATCAGGTAAAAGAGAGGAGAGACTCTCTCAGTGGATAGAGCAAATGCTTTGCACTCATGAGGGTGCCGCTTTCAAATCCTAGCATCTTCAGGTAGAGCTAGAAAAAGTTTCTATTGGAAGCTTTGGAGAGCCATTGCCAGCTATAGTGTGACTGGGTAGAATGCAGTTTCTTACGACATATTCCTGAAAACTCCTGCTGTTATTTATTGTACAGTGGTACCTTGGGTTACATATGCTTCAGGTTACAAACGCTTCAGGTTACAGACTCTGCTAACCCAGAAATAGTACCTCGGGTTAAGAACTTTGCTTCAGGATGAAAACAGAAATCGTGCTCTGGCGGCACGGCAGCAGTGGGAGGCCCCATTAGCTAAAGTGGTGCTTCGGGTTAAGAAAAAATTCAGGTTAAGAACGGACCTCCGGAAAGAATTAAGTACTTAACCCAAGGTACCACTGTATTTATCTACAGAGCAGGAAATCTATGACAAGCTTTTAATTTGAGCCAGTCTTCACTCGGGGCTCACCAACCTTAGCTTTACTCTACAATTCTAAGGGCAGCTCCAGGCTTTCCAGGTTTGTGTCCAAACATTATTTTTGCCACACTGCTTTCCCCATGAAAACCTATGCTTTACCGCTGAATTGAAGCAAATGGCAATTTGCTGAATTCAGTGGTAAAGATCAAGTTCTCCTGAGGAAAGTGTGACAAAAAAGCCCTCAGACAAGGACTGGGAAAGTGCAGACCTGTGCCTAGAAAGCACAGGGCAAAAGTCAAGTGTGGACAAGCTCTAGATCTCCACTCTAGGATATTTGAAGCAATATTAACTAAGACTACTTTTGTGTACGTGCTAAATGCCCAGGTCTTTTCTCTAAGCACAAAGCTGTCCCTGCCACACATCTGGAACAGGCACTCCTAGCAGAATTGAGCCCCAGAACCTCTCCTTTTTTATTTAGCTGCTTCGGGCTTCAACTGCAGATCCTAGATCTTGGAAGCTCAATGAGCCAAACAGGTCAGCCTAGCTGGGCCATTCTCTCAACCAGGGAGGCTGGTTCTAGTGAAAAGCAAGCTTTTGATATTGGGAGAAGTGAACTAGTACAACTGAAACACAGAAATACAACCCCAAAGCAGATAACGTGGACATTTCGCCACATTATTATTTTGTTCATGTTTGTACCACTTAATAAAAATCTAAAAATAATTTAAAAGTGGCATTCAGTAACATTTCCTAAAAGATAAAAACAAGATAAAAACAAAACTATCTATCACAAATAAAACTGTGCTCCTTCAACCACAAACATAGCATGGATGAGTGAGATTTTACGGGGACACAGTCCACCACATAACTGTGAAATGGGTAGGGGATCAGAGAAGGAGATGGTCCAATATTCAATCCCACATATATATATTCAGCCTTGCCTCTGTTTTTGGTTGTTGTTCCCAAGTATTTAGCACTACTCCCTTTTTCTTATGTACCATTCTCCTCCCTACAAAACCAAACCTTTTGAAGATCTGCTTTTAGCTCCTCTATGATGGCCTCGGCTGGAATGTGCCCCACTGAAATACCCTTGAGAGTGATTCCAACCACGGCCTCGGTAAGCAACGTTGTAGTTGTGAAGTTTGCCACGATGTACCCTGAAGAAACACAAACACAGTATTCTGCATAAGTTGCCTCTACTGCCATCAATCATGAGCTGTTGGCCAAGTCACCGTAGTAGATTCAGCTCAGCATAGCCCAGGGATGGGGATCTGTAGCCACTCATATGTGGTACAACTTCAGCTCCCATCACTCCTAGCCAGCATGACCAATGGATGTTTTGTAGTTTTTACTTGCTAGATGGACCAACAGCCTACTGTGCTGCTTTTTTAGAAATGTTAATTTTAACGTCTTATTAGTTTTTACGTTGCTTCATAACTTAATTTTAATTCATAAGCTACTATGAAAATACATTTTGTTAAAAGTGTGGGACAAACACATTCATGTTCTGCTTCTTAGAAAGTTTAAAGTTTAGCATCTTTTTATTAGTTTTTAGTTTATTAACTTAATTTTTGTCATTAATTTATATTATACTTTGAAAAAGTGGGGACAAATATGTGTATATGCATATATAATATGAATAAAAATAAAATGCAGAAGTCACTTACCAAGCAGGTGGTGTATCTGGGCAATAGCTGTTGTCCTGTTGCCAATCCCAAGAGTTCCTCCAATGGTTTTCATTTTGCGAATTCTGGACAGGGGAAAACATTTCACTCTGTTACTAACCCACAACTAGACTAACTGGTCAAAACAGGAAAAGGGAAAGAACACTTTTGCAAGTGCAAGAACTGAAATTTACTAACAGTGGATAGCTCACCTCCAAATCTCAGGTACCAGAAGCAATGCAGCAACCCCAGTTTCCCTCCTTTGTAACTTTTATAACTTACTTGATGATTCTTGTTTAGATTATTAATTGGTCAATGCTGCCAGCTCTGCTTCTTTCCTTCCTCCTTTATCCCCATGCCATGTCAGATGTTATTCTGACCCATTTCTACCCAAACGATATTGGAAGTTATAGTCCAACACTGCCTGGAGGGCCACAGGCCTCCTTTCCCCATCATAAAGAATGGTGTTCAAGGTAGAGTATTGTGAGTGCTGACTCCTAAGATTCTGCTAGCTGATGCTTACCGGAAGCATTGGAACAGGGAGTTAGAATATGCTGTACAGTCTAAACAGTGGAATTTCCTTTAGAATCCATATTTTTCTTTAGATTTAAAACTCAGACCGATTCAGCAAAAACTGATACTTTGGGTATACTGAACTCCACAACATCTTTATAGGAAGGCACTGTTAATTAAAACTTTAAAACTACAAATTGACTGGTATTATACACAGTGGTGCCTTGGGTTACAGACGCTTAAGGTTATAGACTCTGCTAACCCAGAAATAGTACCTCAGGTTAAGAACTTTGCTTCAGGATGAGAACAGAAATCACGCGGCAGTGGCGCAGTGGCAGTGGGAGGCCCCATTAGTAGCTAAAGTGGTACCTCAGGTTAAGAACAGTTTTAGCTTAAGAGCGGACCTCCAGAACGAATTAAGTTCTTAACCCGAGGTACCACTGTACATTTATTGTGTTTCCAATTAATTTTATGAAACAACTCATTTTTAGAATTGGAAAATATTATGGAGCAAAAATCTACGGTAGAAAAGTTTTTGTTAAAGCTCTTTTTCTGCAGAAAATGATCAAGCTCCCTGCATGTTATCTTCATTCCTTAGGGACAAAAGCCATTCTAGATTGCTCCAGCTTTCAGTAATAGATATTCTGTTTCTTTTACAGCATAACTATATGCTAAAACTACTTGAGTCAACCAAAGATCAAGACACTGTTGGGGAGGGTAAAGAAGACTTAAGCAAAACAGCAGCAACAACAACAACAACTTACGGCTGCATAAAACCCAGGTCCATACTGTTGCCTACCCCAGAACATGGGGTAACCCCTCTCCATATTTCAAGCCCTGTGGAAGGAGATAAAAAAAGACATTTCAGGATACTTTCAGCTTTTCAGCCATTACTGTGCAAATTAACCAGGCAATTCAGAGTACAGGCCAAGCCTCTTCCTTCCTCAGTTGAACAGCTGCCTGTCATCTTAGGTCACATTCAGCCAGTTGACCTAGGCTCTGCCCTAGGGAATCAGACTGAGATAAAAGCATCAATTCCAGGTTCTAGGGCAAGGCTGGGAAACATTTGGCCCTCTAGCTGTTGCTAAACTACAACTTCAATCAGTCTCAACAAACACAGGTAATGACCAGAACTATGGGACTCGTAGTTCAACAACATCTGAAGGAGTAAAGCGTTCACACACCTGATCTGGGGCATGCCCAGAAAGTGGAGGGAGTACAGTGGTACCTCGGGTTAAGTACTTAATTCGTTCTGGAGGTCTGTTCTTAACCTGAAACTGTTCTTAACCTGAAGCACCACTTTAGCTAATGGGGCCTCCTGCTACTGCCGTGCTGCCAGAGCACGATTTCTGTTCTCATCCTGAAGCAAAGTTCTTAACCCAAGGTAATATTTCTGGGTTAGCGGAGTCTGTAACCTGAAGCGTATGTAACCTGAGGTACCACTGTATCTGCTTTAAAACAGAAAGTTACAGTGGTACCTCAGGTTACAAACACTTTAGGGTACAAACTCCGCTAACCTGGAAGTAGTACCTCGGGTTGAGAACTTTGCCCCAGGATGAGAACAAAAATCGCATGCCAGCAGTGGGAGGCCCCATTAGCAAAAGCGCGCCTCAGGTTAAGAACGGTTTCGGGTTAAGAACAGCCCTCCGGAATGAATTAAGTTCATAACCCGAGGTACCCCTGTACTCTGCTTATGAACAAAGGTACTCAAGCGAAGATGGCAGAATTGTTTTTAAAACAAAGCATGGTATTTCTAGTTTATAATTGTTGCTATCTAGATCAGAAGTGGGCAGACTTTAGGTGTGAGAAAGGTTGCATCCACATCATACATTTAAAGCACTCTTATACAACATTAACAATCATGGCTTCCTCCAAAGAATCCTGGGAACTGTAGTTTGCTGCTAGGGGAATTGTAGCTCTACTAGGAGTAAACAACAGTTGCCAGGATTCTTAAGGGGAAGCCATGATTCTAAAAGTGGTATAAATGTGCTTTAGCTATATATGGTGGAAATCAGTCTTGTGCTATGATGAATGTTTGTTCCATCTGCATAGGCATTTCAGCTGGCGAGATGATGATGCCCTCAACCCCCCCCCAAGCACACTGTTTTGGGGTTCTCCCAACTCTCCCATGTGGGGGGGAACTGCATTGTGCAAGCAGAAGTCATTGCACAAGACTTCCACTGAAAGGGCTCAGTAGCTGAATCCTGCCCAGAGCAAAGCAACAAGATGCCATTTAGAGTAATCATGAAATGATAAATGGTGCCTGCAAAGTCCTTACGTGGTGCTCACCAAGATCCACACACATATATATATTTTGCCGTCACGAAGAATTCAGCTGGTATCATTGTCAAACTTAGCCTGTGGAGCTAACAGTCTGCCACACTGGTTAAACCCAGTTCTTCTCCTCTGTCTTCTATCCATCATCCTAATGCCAAACTTTGTCATGCTGTCTGCATATGGAATGATTTGAGCTACAAAATGATCCAAGGGTAGGAGCAACTCCTCTATGAGGAAAGATTTCAATATTTTCAGTTTATTAAAAATATGAATAGCGAGGACATGACAGAAGTTTATAGGATTTTGCATGGTGTGGAGAAAGTAGATAGAGAAGGTTTATTTCTCCCTTACTCATTGTACTAGAAGGCAGGGTCATCCAAAAAAGCTGAATGTTGAATTATTTAGGACAGACAAAAGAAAGTACATCTTCACACTGTAGCCAAATAGTCACATAGGTAGCCCCTTTGCCCAATTTAGAATGTGCCTTTCTGTATTGTACCGTATTTTTTGCACCATAACACTCACTTTTTTCCTCCTAAAAAGTAAGGGGAAATGTCTGTGAGTGTTATGGAGGGAATGCCTACGGGTGGCATGCCTACGGATTTTCCTCCTCTAAAAACTACGTGCGTGTTATGGTCGGGTGCGTGTTATAGAGTGAAAAATACGGTATGCTTCTCTCTGTATTTCTGTATTCTTGTTATTCTTTTCAGTTTACCAAAGCTGCGCCATTATTTGCAAGTGAGGAGAGCATGTAGCACTTGTAGGACCCCCGGCCCAGTTAACAGAGTTTAGGTATGCATACTGGTGTAAAGGAAAGGCTGGTACAGAGTCAATTACACTGACCAGAGCCAGCTGGAAGATCATAGAACTGCAGAGTTGGAAGCAGGGTGGATTTGATTTAAATCATGACATAAATCACTAGTCAGTGAAGACTTGATTTAAATCGTTTTTTTACAGAAAGACTAATTCTTGCTGCTATAATCTTAATACAGTATTTACAACCAGATGAAGGTTTCATTTTTGGAATAATAAATTTTCAGTGTCGTTTTTACATTTATATCAAAAATTACCGACTTGGTTATACTATTAGAAATACATAGACCGATAATTATGAAATTATTGTGAGGTTTAATAAGTTAACTGCTTATATTTGGACAAATTTTCTGCTGTACTTTGCAAGAAGGAGAAAAATAATCATTTCCTTAATTTATTTAACTAAAACAATAACATTATAGCATATGTATCCATGTTTGTAAACTGATGTGGTTAGACAATTTAAAACAAAAACTTAGGCTGCGTTTAGCACACATGAAAAACAAATCCTTATTTCCTGATGAATAGCCTTTGGACTATAATGTAACTTAAATAGAAAACTCTCTTTGGAAAGATTTTTCCTCCAAAAGCATTTTTTTATTAAAAAAAAACCGATTTAAATTTTAAAAATCTGATTTATTTATTTTTTAAAATCATTGATTTTTATCCACCCTGGTTGGAAGAGACCCTGAGGATCATATAGCCCAATCCCCGATTGAGGAAGAGACCTTGATAAGATACAGGGAGTTTTAGGTAGAAAACAACTCCAAATATGGGGTGCCTAATTGGAAGGCCAGGTAAAGAACCATGAGCTGTTCACATGTTGCTGTAACCAATAATATTGCAGAGATGATACAGGCATGAGGGCTTCGTGTATTCAGAATGCCATATAGATGCCTTGAATTCTTGTATTGCGGCCCCAGCTTTTGGAATTCTCCACTGGGGCACCTTTCTTTCTTGCTGCAGTAAGCAATAAAGCTGCTCTTTCCACAACACCTTTTGTCTTGAACTGGGAAGAAAGACGAGGCGTATTTTCAGACCTTCCTTTCGAAGGGTAACAACGCAGCACATAGTTAAATTAAGGTATTTGCTTCTACATGAGGCCACCAACTTGGATGGTTTTAAAGATTAGACAAATTCACGGTGCGTAAGGCTACCAACCACAATGGCTGCATACTACATATTTGGGTATTGGCGGGAGTAAGCAATCTGAACACCAGTTGCTGCAAATCACAGTGAATAAAGGGCGAGATGGAGAACATAAGAAATGTAAGAACTCTGGGCAATCCTCCGCAAAAAAAACACAACTCTGTGCCATCTCCCCCCATTTTTTAAAATTTGAGTCCCCCAAAATACATGGAGGTGTCTTATACACAGAAAAAGACGGTACTCTGTTTTTTTCACCCACCCATAGGGAGCCCACTTAAGGAGTCTATACGGGCTCCAGAATATCCCATAAGAGAAAGGGAGCAGTTTTTCTTATAACACCACATACAAAATCAGAGGGCCTGAGGCATGGGCGTAGCCAGGGGGTGCAGCTGCGCCCCCTAAAGCAAGTAAATAAATAAAAATACTTAAACTAACCAATTTTGTCAAAGATAACTCGGTTCTGCCCACCCCCAAAATAACTCCTGGCTACGGCCCAAAACAGCTACAACTCCCTTGAAACCACTAAAGTTAAAATTCTGTAGTAGTATAACTTAAACGGTTAGCACTGAAGGAGAGGGGAACAATACCTCTGAAACGACCAGCCCTAGACTAAACACTTGTGCAGCTACATGGGCATAGCCCCAGATCAAGTAAAATAGAAATATTTAACTGACCAATCACGTCGGTTCTGCCCCCCAACAAAAGTCCTGGCTGTGCCCATTGCAGCTACCTTACAAAATACGGCAATCACAAATTTAGGAAACTAGTTTTGCCATTCTGCGCGGGTATTTTTAAAAAGGGAAACCCTTCTCCTTCCCAACAAGAAGGCCTCTTCCTTAAGGAAAGCATCTTCCTCAACGCAGCACAAACCCAACTGGTCGCTCTCCGCCCCGCCCTTCATACAATCGCTGTTTCAAAGAACAGGGATGCATTTCCATAGTATCAGCTTTTGTTTAGGGGGGGGGGGAGTTACATGAATGAACTTCATTTCCCAGATGTCTATTATAGCCTCTACCTTGCAAAAGTCTTTACCTTTTAGCTCCAACGCTGTTTCTCTTTTGCTGGAAGAAACGTGGTTGGAAGGAGAGCTACGCGCTGCGCGTCCCGCACCAGATCAAACCTGGCTGAAGCCTCTCGGTGTTGCGAAAAGACGAGTGCAGCCCATTGAAAGAGAAAGAGAGGAGAAAACTCGCTCGATTTGTTGCTTATTGCCTCCCTAACTTCTTCTCAGCGCCTCGGCTGCCGAAAAGAGGAAGAGGCGCCCAAAGGCGCTCCAAATAAACGCCGCTTCTTCTCCTGCCTGTGTATGATTGTCACCCACAGTAACCCTGGCGCGGGCTCTGCTCTCCCCTGCAGGCAGATAGGAGAAGCGAGCCGGCGAAAGCGCGCGCGCTGAAACCGAAAGTCAGAGAAGGAGAAGGCCCGCTTCTGAGAATCCCGCTCAGCTGCGAAAGGCTGTCGGGAAAGTGATTATGTCTCCCTGAGGCTGCCAAACGGCCATAAAATCTATATGGGTGTGATTTCTTTAGAGATCGCTGCAGGCGTCTTCTGCATGGGAGGCGGGAAAAGAGAATTGCATGAGGCGATTGATAAGGCTTAGCTGCTCAAATAGCGCCTTGCGCGGGTACTTCTCCACTTCTCCATTCCATTAACTAGTTAAGGCTGTGTCGTTATCTCCGCATTTCAGCTACTTAGGGAGGAAGATGGAAGGCTGAGGGAGATGACGGCTTGCAGGCTGTTCGCCGAGTTCCCGCCCTGACGTGGGTTGTGAATCTAAACTTGCAACTGCACCGCTCCATTTCCTCGCCCAGTGCCCGATTTAGGTATAAGCTAAACAAGCTATAGCTTAGGGCCCCATTCTGTTGGGGGCCCCAATTTTTTTTTTAAAAAAAACCCTGAATGTACATTTTCAAAATTTTAAGATAAAAAAACCAAATAAAACCTACAGCTGGACATATAAAGGGCCCCATTACCTTCAGTAGCATCAAACCTAACTGGCCCTGTCCTTGCCCCTGTTGGAGGGAGCACTGAATAAGACACTGTAAGAATCTTCTGCGTACAACACATTCAAAGTACTTAGCCTGTTGTTGTTTTTAAATGAAGGCTAAGTGCGTTAAATTGCAGTGTAGTAATTCGTGTGTTGAACTAGGACCTCAGAGACCATGGTTCCAATCTTAATTTTACATATTGCCCTCGCAGGGTCAGAAAAACGGTGACAAGACCTTGGTGTCGTGGTGGATGTCAAACCCATGTGTGCAGGCCGTGAAAAAGGCAAAATCCATGTTAGGGACTATTAGGAAAAGAACTGAAAAGAAAACTGCCAATGCAGTATCATAATGCCGTTAGTGCAAATCTACGGTGTCAGTGCAATTCTGGCCACCTCAGCTCAAAAAGAATAAAGGAAAAAAGGTTCATAAAAGGGACGCAACCAAAATGATCAAGAGGGTGGAGCAATTTCCCTATGAAGAAAAGTTGCAGCGTTTGAGACTTTTCAGTACAGTGGTACCTCAGGTTAAGAACTTAATTTGTTCTGGAGGTCCGTTCTTAACCTGAAACCGTTCTTAACCTGAGGTACCACTTTAGCTAATGGGGCCTCCTGCTGCCACTGCATGATTTCTGTTCTCATCCTGAAGCAAAGTTCTTAACCCGAGGTACTATTTCTGGGTTAGCGGCGTCTGTAACCTGAAGCGTCTAACCTGAAGTGTCTGTAACCCGAGGTAGCACTGTATATGGAAAAGGTGAGCGAGAATTAATGGATAGAAGTGTATAAATTTATGCATGGCATGGAGTAAAACGGGTAGAGAAATTCTCCCCAACTCAACACTAGGTCTCTTGGATATCCAGTGAAGCCGAAAGAAGATTAAAAGAAAGCACTGCTTCAACCAGCACATAGTTAAGCTGTGGAATTTGCTCCCGCAGGAAGCAATAATGGCCACCAACCTAGATGGCTTTAAAATAGGTTTATACAAATTCATGATGACTGTGCTCTGGTTCCAGTGTTTGGGGCAGCAATGCTTCTGAATGCCAGTTGCTGGAAACTGCAGGAGTGGAAAGTGTTCTTGTGCCCGTATCTTGCTTGTGAGTTTCCTAAAAGCATCTGGTCGGCAACTAGATAGAGCCATTGGCCTGATCCAGCTGGCTCTTCTTAGTTTCTTATGTTCATAAATCACCACTAAGACTGGCGGGTCCTGGTTTCACTCAGTCGATAGAGCATGAGACTCTTAATCTCAAGGTTGTGGGTTCAAGCCCCACGTTGGGCAAAAGATTCCTGCATTGCAGGAGATTCAACTACATGACCCTGGAGTTCTATGAAGAGAAGAGCTAGTCCTCTGAGGCTGCAGTCCTATGCCCACTCACCTCAACAGGTCTTCCTTCTGAGTAGATGTGCATAGAATTGTGCTGTTAAGTAGCTATATCCCTTGACATGAACGTAGATGGCCTAAGTAAGTTGAGAGGTACCACTCATGAAAAGGACCGAATGTGCCCAGGTTTGGAGATCTTCAGGGGAGGCTTTTATTTCAGTCTCACTTTAGAATCGTAGAGTTTGAAGGGACCACAAGGGTTATCTGGTCCAACTTCCTGCAATGCTGGAATCTTTTTGCCCAGTGTGGGGCTTGAACCTGTGACTCTGAGATTCAGAGCCTCATGCAATCCTGCAGTTTGGTGAGGGGCCTTCCTATCTGCCTTCTCCCTGCTTTCTTAATGGCCCATCACCTTTCCTTTGTTCTCTTAATCTGAGTATGTATGTCTGTGATTGCCACATTGATGACCTGTGACAATAGTAACTAATCAATGCCACCTGTTTTACAGTCATACAGGAAATCAAGATCAATAATAGTGAAGTCCCAAGTAAGGTCACAGTGAAATCATATGGTCAAAATGCATATAATAGTGGTTATTTTATATATTTGCAGGTTTTTGTTAGAACTATATGTAATTAAGGGCCACTAGGTGGCGTAGAAAGTCTGTGGTTGTTCCTTTCCTTGAAAATTATGTGTGATTATTTTTTCCTGTTACAGCCACCCAACAGGCATTCCCATACCATGCAGGTAAGTCCAAATTGTCCAGGGCTTTCCACATTTGGACAATGGTTTCTCTGGCAGCCATCAACAGAAATTACAACAACTCCTTTGCTAAAACATCCTTGTTCGGCCTCTAAAGAATGGTAGCAGGAAAAGCTCAGGTGTAAAGTGGACGTCCTGGTGATACTAATTCCTGGCATACTTTTTACTAAAAGTTGCATATGCAGGGGCATTCCCATCAAAGATGGCGGTGTATGCCCTTAGCCTTACATCCTGTCCATATTCTGACCAAGGAAGTAAATGTGACCTAACTTTATCAATCAAATACTTTTAGTGAAGTTGCTTTGATGCTAGCGGATATGGACTTTATGGGCTTGCTGGACCAATGCCTATTCCAAGCAGCTTCTTCCATTTAAAATCCCAAGTTGTCTTACCACACTATCTTCAGACCCAAGAATGGACCAAGTTCCAGGAAGATCTTATACATGAAGAGACAATGCGTTTCCCTCACCCAACACGTACCAGGAATGGCGGACTATTAAAAATTTGTTGTTGTTGTTGTTGTTGTTGTTGTTGTTGTTGTTATGTACCTCACCCTGTTATGTGGCTCACCCTGGCCACCAGGGGTATTGTGTACTGTATATAGTTTTCACTCAGGTCCACGTCAGTTAATTTACGCGGGAAACCCTGGGGTGTGGTTGTTACAATGTTGACAGCCGGCCGCCTATAAAAGCAGGCCAGCTGAGCTGTTCAGCTCAGTTCAGGTCCAGCGTACTATAAAGAACCACTTAGAGAAATCTGTGTGTCGTCTGCTTTGTCAACCCACTACATCATTATTATTATTATTATTATTATTATTATTATTATTATTAGAGAAGTATTAATAGTGAGTGGTAACTGAATAACAAGCAGGCATTCTAACCATATTAGAAAAACAAAACAATAACTGGTAATCAACAATCTGATTAGCTAACACTGTGGTCATTAAAGAAAATTAATACAGAGAGAACTGAGAACCTTTCTTCAGTTGGTTTTATTATTTATTGAATTTTAAACGTTTAATTTTTTGTTATGTGCCACCCTGAAAACTGTTTTAGTCTATAAATGTTGTAAGTAAATAATATAAAATAAATTGACATAGCTGGGAGTAGGGAGGAAAGCTTAACAAAAACCTAAGTGCTACAGTGATCTAGTATGTGTTTTCACTCTCCTTTGGGGCAAGGTCTTACAGGTCCTCTTGGGGACATCACCATGAACTCTGGGCTGAACCTTCTCCCAGGCCACTTCCATGGCTTTAGAATTGGAAGCTAGCCTTCCTCATAACTGCAATGCTTAGCCAAGATTTGTTTGTTAAAAGTATTTGTATCTCCCTTATCACCAAACGCTCAAAGTAGTTGTCAGGGAACTGCCATCAGTGCCAGAGGGAGAGAGCAAAAGCCAGAGGGATTCCAGAGAGCATCCAGGGATCGGGAGAAGCAGCCCATCTTCTGGGGAAGAGAATCAGCGTAGCACCAGTGGAGAAGGGGGGCAGATGGGGGAAGCAGCGAGGCGGTCCCATGACTCCTTGCCTGGGACCAGCGGGGAGAGTAGGGGTCCTCCGTTGCCCACGCCCTCCTTGCGCAGAAGGCAGGGCTACTGTACTACAAGGGGGCGCTGTATGTACCAGGAGAGACTTTGAGGGGGAAGGTACTTAGACAGGTCCATGACAACCCAACAGCTGGGCACTTTGGACAGCACAAGACCATGCTACTTGTCACCAGGCAGTTCTGGTGGCCAAAGGTGAGGGAAGACGTACAAGAATATGTACGAGGGTGCGACCAATGCCAGAGGGCAAAGGGGGAAAGGACTGCCCCCGCGGGGCTACTGGAACCCTTACCTACACCGGAAAGGCCCTGGGAGGTGGTGATTTTATGACAGATCTGCCCAAGTCAAGGGGAAAGACAGCGGTCATGGTAGTGGTCGCTCTACTGACTAAAATGTGCCATTTTGTAGCTTGCTCGCATGCAGTATTGGCAGAGGGGACAGCCAGGCTGTTTGTGGACCACATTTTTAGACTGCACGGGGCCCCATTGAGGGTAATCTCAGATCGCGGGAAGCAATTTACCTCCCGGTTCTAGCGGAGACTCATGAGCTTGCTACAGGTCGAGGTGAGCTTCTTGATGGCGAGGCACCCAGAAACCAATGGACAGGCCGAAAGAGCGAACGGTATACTCCAGCAGTACCTACGCTGCTATGTCAGCGAGAGGCAGAACGATTGGGTAGAGAAATTAGCTTTGGCTGAATTTGCGTACAATAATGCTGAACACGTGTCCACGGGAATGAGCCCTTTCATGGCCAATTACGGGTGTCACCCCAGAGCCTTCCCAGGGCGGGCGGAGGAAGGATGGAGTGTACCTGCGGCTGAGCAATTTGCGGAGGAAATGGAGGCCTTACACCAGCAACTCAGGCTGAACTTGGAGCGGGCCAAGGAAGTTTACAAGAGGCAGGCAGACAGGCACCGTCGGGAGAGGGAGGCCCTACGGGTGGGAGACCGGATGTGGTTGTCATCCCAAGGGTTGCCCCTAAAGGGAGGGTGCAAGAAGTTGCAGCCTAGGCGGCTGGG